CTTTCTTTCTTTCTTTCTTTCTTTCTTTCTTTCTTTCTTTCTTTCTTCTTTCTTTCTTTCTTCTTTCTTTCTTTCTTTCGAAAAAGAAAACAAACAAACAAACAAACAGGAAACTTGGGGTATTGGTTTGTCTCCAGTGGATTTTCTGACCTGAAGGCCTGACCATATAGGACTGAAGGAGGTCATGGAGGAAACACAGATGGATCCTGGTGCTTATTCTTCTCACTCTTTTGTGCTCCAACTGTTTTACTAATGTGTCAGGTCCAAAAGAAACCAGGCATAAATAGTGGTACCTCTTAGCATCCCAAACAGCATGCTGGCCTGCAGGCTCTCTCAGCATTGCAAACACTTGTTACAGAGTTCATGGCTCCTCTCAGCTATTCTCATCCCACGCTTTAACCCTAAACTTCTCCAGCTCATGGGCTGCCCTTTCCCCCAGCATCTCATTCACCCTCCTTTTGCTCTCTTGGCTCTCTCTCTTCTTTGCTTTCTCTTCTTTTCCTCTCTTGCTCCCTTGCCCCAGCATGGCCCAGCTCTGTCTACTGGTCCTGTTTAGTTTACTCCTTTCTCTTCCTGCTCTGGACTCTCCCAGATAACTCTGGCTGTACTCTCCTTCACACCCATACCTTGGAGAGGTCATGTTCTCATTTTATATAAGAAAAGACCATTCTTCTCAACAGAGGATTTGCCTTGGTCAGAGCTTCAGAATAGGGAAGTAGTTATGCTAAATTCAGAAAAGTGAAAGAGCCAAGCGAAGCAAGAGCACCCCTATGCCACCTCTGAGGAAGCAGCAAAAAGCCCAGAAAAATTTCAGGTTCCTTCTTTGGGGAAAAAGAGAAGTTGACCTCAGTAGTTTCTTTGAAAATTGCAGCTTGTATCATCCTGAATATTCACAGCTGAGTTGGAGTTCTGTCTTGGAGTTCTGTTATCCTGTATCCTATCACATCTATTGCTTCTTCTTGGTCAGAATAGCCCCAACTGTTTTGAGTTCTTTCAACCAAATCCCAGACATTAAGGAACAAATAGCAGTTAGTCCTTTTGAGTACTGTCAAATGTCAGGGTCATGAGAAACATACACACACCCAACCACGTGATTACTATTTTAAACCTTGAATATTGAGAGGGTAGAGCCTAAGTCTATGTCTTGTGTAGATAACTGAACATAGACGCAATCTTGCAACTGCAATGAAAATACATAAGGATGTACATTCTAATAATGAAAACACTGACAGCAAAAATTCTGTGGAAAATGATGAAGTTGCTAATCCCTTATCAAGATGCCCCATGTCCTTCTTGTTGCTCTCTTGGCAGTCACTAGCTATTCTTTCTGTCTTGGCCCGGCTCTCATGCTTCTTCAGTAGAAGCCCCTAGATAAAACAAGCAGAAAGAAAGGCTTGGTTAGGCCACAGCTACTTTTCTGCTGTATTTGTGTTGCTGGGGATTGAACCCAGGCTAGCATGCCAACCAGCTGCACCACCACTGTGGTAAATCCCAGACTCTAGGCCAAAGAACTTTCTAAATAGGGAAAGATTGGCAAATCTTTTTCCGTAACCTCTATTTCCCCAATCTGCCTGCCCCTCTTAATTCGCAAGGGATATGGTTCAGAGCTTCAGAACTGTTGTGTGGCCTCAGACTAGGATCATTTTAGTTTATAACTCAGGAAGTATCTATGTATTTGAATTCTCTAAAGTGACCTCTTCTAATTATTCCATTCAGTAGGTCCTTGGACTACGCATAATATACTATTGTTTTTCTCTGGACTGAAAGCTCTTTGTAGGCTGAATACTTTTTAAGCTGGGTTGTTTTTTTTTTTTTTTTTTTTTTTTATATTTTTTTTTTAAAATATTTTTTTTTTATGTTTTTTTTTTTTTTTTTTTTTTTTTTCAGTTTCCACCTATTATGGTTGACCTGCTCAGAGTGTATTGGTGAAGGTCCTATTTAATACAAAATTTTCTCAGAATTGCTATCAAAACTCAACAAAATGATAGATTTGCTCTTAACTTCAAATCACGGGCTCCTGAAGTTCTGCACTCACTGGGTTAGGGGGGGACTGAAAAGCCAAATCATCACTCGTTCATTCATAAGAGAATGAAGAGGAGCATCACTAAGTGCGTACGTGTCATTAGACATGGTGATGGGAACAGTACTTAGGTCATCTCCTTTAGCTTCCCCTCAATCCTCTTAAGTCAGTCAGTCTAGGTAGCTTCCTTTTTTCAGAGTTCAGACCACAGCCACAGTAAACAGGAAGAAGGATTTGTCTACAACTGAGACCCAGCATTGTGACTCTCAGGTCAGTGTTCCTTCTAATTTCACCCATGGTTTCTGACCCAGACACAGTATACTGTGTGTTATTTAAGAACATCTTTTAGGGACTAGAGAGGTGGCTCAGAAGTTAAGAGCACTTGCTGCTGTTGCAAGGGATCCAAGGTTCAGGTCCCAGCACCCACACCAGGTTGGATTCCTCTAGTTTTAAGGAATCCAACACCTTCTTTTGGCTTTGGTGGGCATTCATGCAGGTGGTGTATATACATAAACTCGGGCACAAACAAAAAAAATAAACAAATACTTAGAAAAGAATATTACTTAATTGAGTTTAAAGCCAGATTGTTTTCTATCAGAAATCATAAATATGAAAGGAGTTAACTTTCCTTCTCTCATCCTAGTGTATCTACAACTCAAGTGTAGTAGTGCTGGGGGGACTCTGAAGGGCATCTGGTTCTCAGTAACTTATGAAGACTTTATTTCTCCACATCCCCTAATTTTTTTTTTTTTTTTACTTTTAAACTGAATTATAAGAGGAAGAGGAAGTGGTGTTTTTCTGAAACATTTTCCTCCTCCACTGTGTGAACTTTGGCTTTCACACACAGCCCACACACAAGAGCGACGAGAAGGAAGGACACTGTGACATGATGAAAACAGAAATTCCAGCAGCCTCCAGATATGATTACTGGTCCCTCCCCCGCCAAGCCCCAGCTCTGCATTATTTGCCTGCTTGGCCTCCAGGTGGACAACTCCAGTCAGCAATGCCAGAAAAGATGACAGACTGTGAGTTCATGTACATCCACTCTCTGGCTGAGGACTATCTCCAGTATGTCCTGCAGGCACCTGCTGTTAAATCTACTCCAAGCAAAACATCCAGAGTGCTACAAAGAGTTGCTTTCTCCGTTCAAAAAGAAGTTGAAAAGAATCTGAAGCCATACTTGGATGGTTTTCATGTGGGATCCATAGATACTGCCAGAATAATATTCAATCAAGTGATGGAAAAAGAATTTGAAGACGGCATCATTAACTGGGGAAGGATTGTAACTATATTTGCTTTTGGGGGTGTTCTCCTCAAAAAACTTCCACAAGAACAGACTGCTTTGGGTACTTATAAGCAAGTTTCCAGGTTTGTGGCTGAATTCATAATGAATAACACAGGAGAATGGATTCGTCAGAATGGAGGCTGGGTATGTATGAATGATGTTCTTTATACATTTCTCTACTGCAAAATAGGAATGGAGAGTTTCCTTTCTAATTAAAACAAAGAAGAAAAATGCCAACTAAAGGACTGCAGTCTGTTTGTATATCTTATTTTAGGTTGCTTTTAATTAAAATTAAACAAAGCAAAAATCATTTCCAGTGGACCCTACAATTTTATAGTTCGTGAACATTTGTGTCTCCAGCTTTTATTCTAGCTGTGTGAACTAGTTGTGAGGTCTGGGCTGAGAGCAGGGTTTTGTTTTTTGTTTGTTTTTAACTCCATCTTCAGTATCAGCAGTTTATACTCTCAAGTGCCTGCCTTTTCCTAGGGTTCTCATGGCCATGGAGAACTAGGACAGAGAGAGCTGGAATTAGATGTTGTGATATGTACTTCATTCTGTTGTAATAGTCAATAGGCAGCTGTACAGTTTTATAGATTCATTACTTACACTTTGGCCTTCCACAGTTTCTAATGTACAAAGTATGGGCTGCTAAAGTTTTAGCATAAAAATAACGCACTGTGTCACTGGAAGGAACCATTTTTAAAGCATATTCAAGTATATACATTCACTTTTTAATTAGTATATCAAAAAGCCAGGACTGTACAGAGAACTGTTGGAGCATGTCAGAAGCCCTGTCCGGCCAGATTTAAATGCTTCACTTTGTGTCCCAATAGGTTTAATACTGAGTTGGATTCTCATGTAGTCTCTCTCTAACTCCCAACCCCAGCTTTTGTCTCTCTCAAGCAATGTCCACAGTTATCATTTCATAAACAAAGCAAGTTTATTGAACACAACCAAAGAAAATACTTACAGCATCCCCCACCTCCATTTGGAGGTAAGATCTCACTATTTTGCCCAGGCTGATTTCCAATTCCCCAGAGTATAGTGATTCTAAAAACCTCTGCCTTCCAAATATCTGGGTCTCTGGATGCATACTATCATGCTTGGCTATGGCCCTTTGTCATCAGGGAGCAGACTTAGATCCTAATGTAACCTGAGCACCTCTTCAATCACTGTACCATACCCTCAGCCTCATGGTAGTCTTTCTGAAAAATATTTTACAGATTAGTATCTGGGCTAGACACAGAAGTATACATTTGTAATTTTGGACCCAAGGAGACAAAGCTAAGAGGACCAAAAGTTCAAGGTCATCTTCAACTATATAGTAAATCAATAGAAGGCCAACTTTGGTCACATGAAGGCCTGTTTCAACCCCCCCGCACCCCCCACATACACACACACTCCTGTAGTACATAGGCTTATTTGGTAACTGTTTTTTCAACCTAGGGTACTTAAAATAACATTTTAAAAGAAATCTTTATGGCCTGGGGAAGTAGATCAATTGTGGAGCCCTCACGTTGTATGAACAAAACCCAAATTCAATCCCTAGCATCATAGGCAAATAAAGATTAAGAGTTTTTAATATGTTTTGTTGTTTGTACCTGCTGTTGAAGAGCTGGTCTCTTACAGCTGGTGTATATTTATCTGGTTTACTTCCAGAGCTCTCTGTTACAAGCAATGTGTCATTGAATGCATTGCATAGGTTTGTTTCCTGCTGTGTGAAACTATGTTTTCTAGGGTGGATATTTACTAGTAGAGTTATTTGCTTGTGGTATATATCAATTTTGAGATTGCTAGAGTTTTCTGAGATATCGTGGTTCTACCACATTGTAATCCTGCCAGAAGTATGTTAGAGTACAGTACCCAGTATATCCTTGGTACAAGTGGAATAATAGGAGATCCTAGTAATCTTCTACAGTCTCTCCACTTTGTTACACTAACAGCATACATGTCGTCATCTCATCTTTCCCTTCATTACTAGTACAACTAAAGTTCTCTTCATACCGAGCATATGTTCATATTTATTGACTAATTCTTACTGAAAGAATTGCCTGCTTATATCTTTTGTTCAGTTTACAATTGTTTTATTAACAAACAAAAATTCTTCAAAAAAAATCTGAATGCAAACTATGTTTGTATGTGGCAGATTTCTTTTAATTTGCTTATTATCTTCTAAAACTGTAGATGTCTCCATCAATCACATTTTTTTAAAGGTTTGATACAATCAACTGTATTGAACCCTGACTCTGTTCCATTTCTGTTTTGTTGAAAGTCTGCTTGCTTAGTGCTGTCTTGCTATAAATCAGCCCTCCTTTTCAATTGCTTTCAACTAGCTGTAACTCTTCTAACTTGGCCTGGTTGGGTCTAGGTGAAACATTGTCAGATGTTGATTATATTTCTTCTAGTTGGCTGTGCGAAGGGCTCAAGAAAATCTCGGCTGTACTCTGTAAACCTTAAGTGAAGGCAAGTGTCCTCTAGCATAGAGGCTACAAGTGGGCCTATAGAGAGTAGACTTATAAGCTCTATCCATAGGTTTATACTATGTTCCCATTGTCTAGCACAGCTTGTAGAAGGTACAAAATAGATATTACTCAAAATCTAACTCCTTCAGAACATATTGTGTGAACTTTTAGAATCCAAATGAATGAAGGGTTGGTAACAGTCTCTTAGAATTTCTAGAAATGTGTCCAATGTTTGGAAGTCATAGAGATATCAGTATATATATATGTGTGTGTGTGTGTGTGTGTGTGTATATATATATCTTAATGAACATTTCATCACACACACACACCCCCTTCATAAAGCTCCTACGCTGGTTCTCTAGATCCTTTACAACTGGGAGCTAATGTCATAGACATTTTAGAAGCACTCTTTAAGATCATTTTAAAGCAACGTCAATACTACATCCTAGCTAACAGAAATCACTTATTCTGCTAATGGCATGTAGTGCTACACAGGCATAGCAAAGTGATAGCTTTTTTTTTTTTTTCTTGAAGTGCTATTGACAAATCTTCTCCTTTGAATGAGTTTACTTTGAATGGTTCATTTTGTAGAAAAGACACAGCTACATGTCTCTGCCAGTGGCCAGGTGGCCCAGTGAGAAGGAGAAATGGGTATTTTACAGTTTTTACCTTTTTATTCTTCTGAAAGTGAAACCTCTAAAATGGTCATAAATCATGCAATCCATACTCTCCTTACACTTTAAATATGCCTGGCAACTTTACTAGAACTTTCAGATCAAGATGTGTACAAAAGCATAGACTAGATTTGAGGAGCACCAACTCCAGTTCAAACAGGGCTGGGCTCATTCCAGGGCTCAGTGCTTACCATCCATGTGAGTAGAACAACTTACATAATTTTTCCATACTTTGTTTCCTCATCTGTAAAAATTGGCCATATTGCACAACCTATCTGCTGGGGCTGGCATAAGGATCACATGAGTTACTTACACACAAAGCATTCCTACAAATAAGCACTCCATACAAAATCAAGACTGTTGTTATTTCTATTAAATACTAATACTACTAATACTGCCTAGTTGCCATTTAGCAAATCTAAGTACATTTAGACTCCAAAAGTTGTATGGTTCACTTTAGTTAGATATAAGTCACCATGGACCTCAGGTGTGCTAAAGGGAAAAATACATGAGACTTTTGCATGAGCAATGGGACACATAATCTTATCCCTTCTTCTTTAAAAAAAGAAAAATAGTTTAAACCCTTTCTCCTTCCCTTCCTATCTCTCTCCTCCTAATTCCTCTATTCCTTCCCTTTCTTCCCTCTCCTCCTTCCTCTGTTCTTTCCTTCTCTTCCACATCCCCTTTAGTCTTCATCCTGTAATCTCTGTTTTTCTTCATCTTCTACATTTACTATTATATTTTCCAGTCTCCTCTACCAGTTTGAAGTGCCTGGTTGGACTCAAACTGTCTGGGAGGGATTTAATGTGATTTGTTTTGCTACCATTAGCATTTGAAAAGAAAAGATAGTTCCTAAACCCACTAGAATACATTTTACTTGCTGGGTGTCCATAGTCTCAGCTATACAGAACTAAGGCTAGAGGAACATTGCTTGAACACAGGAGAATTTAAAGGTCAAGTGTGGGTAATATAATAAGACCTTATCTCAAAAACAATGAATGTGCTTAAGATGAAACTCAGTGTCGCACCCCTTGGACACCATGCTTTAGTTCAATCCAAGTGACTGTTCTACTTCCATACTCTTGAATGAAGCACTTTTCTGTGTTCATGCTTGTGGAATAAAGAAAAAAATTCTTGGTAATTAGCTTCACAGGGTGGGAGTGTGTGTGGGGTATATCTATTATATACATCACTGTATTTTTCATGCTTAGCATAGGGCCTATTGCACAGAAATTACCTGACATGCTCTCAAGAACCGACATTGAGATCTGAGGTTTGAACTCTGAATTTTCCTGCTTATGTGAGGCATTACCTAGGGTAAGTTAGGAAGTACCTCAAGATTCAGTTTCCCTATGTAATACGTATAGCAATGTAATATATCATAATGTAATAATATAATATAAACATATAAAATGAAGAGAATAATACCTATACTCAAAGAACTAGGAAGCTCTCTCATAAAAGTACTTTGTGAATATGTAAATAGAATTATGTAAGTATGAGGATTGCGTGGGAAAATCTGAGACATTTAAATACATAATTTTTAAAACCACTGTAAGTGCAAAAAGAGCTCCTTTTAAGAAGTAGGGCTACAATGAAGTGAGCCCTTTCAAGTAACCAGAATAGTAAGAGTTGTAAGAGTTAAGCTAAGAGGTCCCCTCCTCTGTTTTTCTTTTCTTTCTCCATCCCACCTTCTTTCTTCTTGATCTAAATAACGGTGTGGTTAGTTTGGTGACAAAGTGAACGGGCAGAGTGGATACACAGAGATGTATAGATGACTGATTAACCATCCATCTCAGTAACGACATTTTTAAAGGTATAAATAGCCAAGCCATGTGAATACTAACCTCATGCTCCACCACTGAACATTGTCCCAGACCACCAAACCAACTCTTGAATGAATGATTGAACAAATAATCTCTAGAGAAGTGACTGTGTATCTGCTTATCTTTTTTTATTTTTATTTTATTTTATTTTTTTAAATATTTATTATTATTATTAATTACACTTTATTCATTTTGTACCCCCCCCATTAAGTCCCTTATCTGCTTATCTTTCAAAAACTTCAGAGGTTTTAATTTTCTTTGGATTATTGGTATAGTATGTGTCAGTCTGCTTTGTAAGGCAATAAACGGGATAATAAGTTGTAAAATAATAGAACATCACACAGTAAATTATAAGAAAAAAGGAAGTTGTTTAGGGAGTCTGAGGGTGCCAGCATCCACAGGCACAAGCACTGAAGACCAGCACTGAAGGGCTGCCTCTGGTAAGAACCCTCTTGCTGAAATGTGGTAGAAGGACCCAGGAAGTGGGGTAGGAAGACAGGTCTAGAGAGATGGAAGTAAGGAGGGAAGAAGGATGAATAGAGGGATTTCATAACAAAGCCACTCCTTTGATAGTAGTCTTGCTGTAGTCATGGAAGGGGTGCTCCCATGACCAAACATTCTGTTAAAGATTCCAACTCTTAATATTATCAAATAGCAGTTAAGTTCCAAAATGAGTTTTGGGAGGCATGGTCAAACCACGGCAGCTTGGTGTATTATTTTATGCTTCATGCTTTCTCAAAACCAGAGTAGCCCAATTAAACAAATTATCACTACTTCCAGAAATAATCAGACCTGTGCATTTCTTACTCATTACTATATTACTGAAGTGATAGTGAATCCTTATTTATATATTTATTTTTATATAATAGGCTTAAAATGTAAATAGCATCACTATAGGAAACAGTTTTAAAAGAATCTATTTGGAAAATATTTTTTACATCTATGACTTTGTTAAAATGGAAAGTCCTTTATTTGCTGTTAATTTAAAATATTTCCCGTATAGTTATTAGTGATTTAAGTTTCAGCAAACTTCTGTTTTCAACTATTAAGGCATGATTATGTATGTGTGTACACATAACTATTTTTATCTTCATTTAGCTTTTTTCTTTTACTTTTTTATCTTAGATATTGAACATATATAAAATGTTAGCATGTTAACTGCCCATACAAAGATCAGCTCTCTTAATAAAAGATTGTTTTAGAGATTATCAATGAACATTATAAGATCATGAACATTCTTAGAAGGGGAACAAGATATATCTACACACCCTGAGACTTGTGAAAACTACGTGAGAATGTAAGGTTAGGAGAAGAGGAAACAGGGGAATAAGCAATGTCTTCTCTCTGTTGGGACATGACATCACGTGCCTCACAGCTGACCCTGCACACACACACAGAAACTTTCTTGGTCAATTATTCACATAGGAAATTCCCCTGACTGGTGGCTGTCTGGTTTGCTGATTCCACGATTATTAATTTTAAGATCTGTAGAGATTTCCAGAGTCCTCTGACTATCAAGGAGCTACACTTTTTCTGTATTTGTTCCATTATGGTATAAACATTTTGAAACATTGCAATCTTGGAGCTTATAAGATGCAGAGCAAATGTTTGTTACATAAACATAAAAATAAAGGGGATGATGATGTAGAGAATATCCAAGCATAGTCTGGGGCTATCGCTCAGTTGGAAGGGTACTTGCTTAGAATGCACAATGTCTTGTGGTCTATCCCCAGCACTGCCTGAACCAGACATGAAGGGCCATAGCCATAGCCATAGGGCTAGAAGGTACAGCCAGAAGATTCAAAAGTTTAAGGTCAGCTCTGTCTGTTTAGTGAGTTCTAAGCTGGCCTGAATTACACATGCTCCTGTCTCAAAGCAGCAAAAATAAAAAAATAAATGTTTTGAACAATTCTATAGTCTTTTTTTTGTGTGTGTTTGTTTTGAAGTATATGGAATGAAAAGAAGTGTAATGTGTAAATCCCAATCCAGGCCCAGGAAAAGAGTTATGTTATCTTCCATTAATTTTTGGCACAGTGTTTTGCTCTGTAGCCCAAGCTGGCTTGGAACTCACTGTGTACCCAAGGCTTGCTTACAGTAATTCCCCTGTCACTATCTCACAAGTGCCAAGAACACAGAGTGAGCCACAACTCATGTTGAGTTCTGTTATCTTAGGTAACTTCCCCTCTCCCACCCTGAGCCTTAGTGCATTCATTAAATAAAATAGGAGTTAGCATGAGGATGGAATTTTCAATGAAAATATAATATAATTATATATTTCAAGTGTTAAAAATATTGTTACAGAAGGCTGGAGAGATGGCTCAGTGGTTAAGAGCACTGACTGTCCTTCTAGAGGACCTGGGTTCATTTCCCAGCACCTACATGGCAGCTCTCTGAAACTCCAAAATGTCTATAACTCTAAGATATGACACCCTCACACAGATACACATAAAGGCAAAACACCAATGCACATAAAAATAATAAACTAATTTTAAAAAGGTCAGTCTCAAAAGTGGGAAAAAATGGAAGTAATCAACATTTTTCTTAGGCTCAAGTATAGTGATTTAATATGGATTTACTATGAAGTTTTTTTTTTTAATTCTCAGCATAATACAGTTTATAAATATAAATATAAATATAAATATAAATATAAATATAAATATAAATATAAATATAAATATAAATATAAATGTATCTTTCAGTGCTAGACAATTGAAAGAGAAAGAGGATACTTTTCCCTAGAGCTTACAGAAGATGAGCAACAAAAGTAAGGCTAGTTTGAATGAGATGAAAGCACTACTCTTTGAATTTTTAATACTGATAGACAAAACAGAATACAATATCTCAATGATGATTTCTTACTATCTACACACTGAAAGAATATTTATATGATAAATATACACTGAATTGTATATGTTTTCAAATTTTTATACTTTTTTTTCTTTTTAACTTCTTATAGTTGTTTGAATAAGAATGGTACCAGAGGAGTCACTAGGGAGTGACTAAGCATTTAATTAATTTAACTAATTTGAAAGGATTAAAAGGATTAGGAGGTATGGCTTTTTTGGAGGATTGTGTCAGTAGGGATGGGCTTTGAGGTTTCAAAAGCCCATGCCAAGACCAGTCTCTCTCTCTCTCTCTCGGTTCAGGATGTAACTCTTAGCTACTGCTGCAGTACCTGCATCCATGCTGCCATGCTTACTGCCATGATGATAATGGACTAAGCCTCCAAAATTGTAAACAAGCTTCCAATTAAATGCTTTCTTTTATAAGAGCTGCCTTGGTCATGGTGTCTGTTCACAGGAATAGAAGACTGACTAAAAACTTAACATGTGGCTGGAAAAAAAGTGAAACCAATATATGTAGCTCAAACTGTATTCCTATTGGGCAGTGTTTGAAAAGGAGTTTAGCCTTGGAGTAGAGAGCAATGCTCAGAATGTAATGACTACAAACAGTGATAGTAGTGAGAATATGCCCCCTTATTTTTAAATGTTCACTTTGTTCTCATAGGAAGATGGCTTCATAAAGAAGTTTGAACCTAAATCTGGATGGCTGACTTTTCTGGAAATGACAGGGCAGATCTGGGAAATGCTCTTTCTCTTCAAGCAACACTATTGACCAGAGAGAAGCCTGGCTCCTGTAAGAATGGTCACCGGTACTTAATGCTTCCATTTATAAGCAAATAGCTTGGATGATGAAACTTCACTGTCCAGAGTTGCTCATATTTTATTCCCATGTTAATGAATAAATTACCAGTTTTTGTTTCTGTATGGGTTTCATGTTTTAAGCTTTTGAGTCTGCCTGGAATTTCAACATCACTCAATACAAGGAACAGGTACTAGAAGCAGGGACTGATGATGAGGTAGAGACTCTTCCGTAATGGTGTGCTCATTATCTAAAAGGCTGTGTCACTAGGCTAAACCATTTGGGAGTTAAATGTTTCCTACATTTCCCCTGAGTCCATGCTTTATATATCCTCAGAGCCCCTGGCTGCTCACAGCTTCTTGTTGATGACCTCTCCTTGACCTTTACTCTCTGACCTTTTATTTGGGGTTCATGGGTAGGATAGTCAGATATACAGTGTTGGCCCCAGAAATGATATCCTAAAAGGAAGACCTCAAATCTTTTTTCTCTCTGGCTTTTTTTTTTTTTTTTCTTTTCTTTAATTACTTCCCATTTTCTCCCAAGGCAAGACACAAAAAGTAGAATGTACTTTCCCCAAGTCAAATCATAGTCAACAGTCAGGTTATATATGATCAGCCTGCCTTTCTAATAGTCAAGAAGGGATCACTTCTCTTTCTGCTCCTACAGCAGGAAACTGGAGTGGTTTGCGCAAAAGCAGCTAATGAATGAATATCAAGTCATTATTAAACTTGATGTATGTGTGTGAGAGAGAGACCACGTTCCAATTTTTAGATAAAGTTTGATGGCAATATAGAAATCCTCTAAGTTGGTCTAGGTCACTTGCATTACATTTCCCCTGAGGCTATTGGTAGATACAATAGAGAACCCCTCTTTCCAAGGCTAGGTGTCTGTTTACAAGGGATCGCAGTTATTAACCGTACCTCTGAGGTATGATTCCTAACTGAAAAAATGAATACATGACGGCAAGTCAGTAAGGACCTTAGCTTCTGCTCCTTCTGTCTCCACATCCTCAGGGCTAGGATTACATCTATGTTATCACCACATTCAGTTTGTACAGTGCTGGATGTTAACCCCCTAGGCTGTGTGCACGTAGGGCAAGCACCCTAGCAATGGCACCTGATCTTAAACAACATATTTTATTTTATCACCACCTTTAAATTGGAGAAGAGGAAAGGAGTAATAAGCAAGATAGCCAGGTAGGAAATTACTTAAAATCCTACTGAGGTGAGTCAGAAGCAGATATCACCTTTGAACTCTGCTGCCCACAGTGATCTGCTTGTTAAAAATGTTCCACAGCACCCTGATATAGTGCAACCAAATGGGGGACTGGGTGTTCAGACATGAGACTGTGGGTGGGGGAATTTCACAATCAAACCTTGAAACTGTTTTGTTTTAAGACACAGTCTCCCTGTGTAGCTTAGGATCTTCCTGATACCACACTCCTCCGACCTCAGTCTTTTGAATACTGAGATTATAGGTGTGTGCCACCACTTTCAAGATATTTTATGTGAGGTCTCTTTAGTTTTGTTTTGAGTTGGGGTCTAAGCTACCTATGTAGCTTAGAATGGCCCAGGAAATTCAAGATTTAGACACTGGCCTGTTAGACATTTAACAACCTTCTATATGAACTCTTGATCTCTTCTTCCTTTGCTTCAGCTACCTATCAGTGTCAAGCACAACATCTTCCCCTAGTATCTGAAACCATTCTGCTACTGGGTCTTCCTATGATTTTGATTTCTGCTGGAAATAATAGCTCCAGATGATTGAAAACCTTGGAGGAAACATAGACATCAGTGATCCTGTCATGAAGCCTTACCTGTGAGAGAATATGCAGAATCCTCTGAAGGCTCACAACCTTAACGAGCTTTCTTTACACCTAAGGCTGCATGCATTTACAGGTGCAAAAATATCCTTGATGAAAACATGATTGTGGAACTCAAGAATTTTTCTTTTTTCTAAGACTGGGGGTGAGTGAAGAGAATGCTTTTCCCCATGCCAAACTGGACAAAGCAATCATTATTTTTGCAGCACTGGAAGGCACTTTACCCCTTGCTTATCCTGTCAGACTTCCTATTTGTTCTTGAAGAGATGAGCCTACAACAGGGAGCCACATAACATAGCCATGGATATCCAGACATGGCCTGCCTTCAGAATTCAACAGCAGCAATTTATCAATACTAAAATGTACTTTTTTTTTTTTTTTTTTTTTTTTTTTGTGGTGCTTGTGATAAAACATAGGACTGTTTGCATACTTAGTTGTTTCTTCCTGCAAATTATTACTTGCTGTATACATTGATTTACGGTAATTATTCTCAAACATCAATGTGGATAGAAATCACCCTGGGACCATGTTAAGATAACCCTTTGGACTTCCTAGGTTTGAGGATGGCTTAGGATTCTCCGTGTCTAACAAGCTTTCAGGAGACACTGATTCACAGACCACACTCATGTTCAATATCCACTGATAAATGAATGTTGCATTGGCACACTGACATGCATTGTTAGGTCTAGAAGCATAAAGACAAGATAACAGATGTAAGTGAATTCAGTGTGTTCTTATCTCCCCACCTCTGTAAAATTAACTCTCAAAAATCAACCCGCAGCTATTGAGTGGAAACATGAGGGTGAGGGTGGTATAAATCTGAATCAGTGCTCCTCATATCTACTTACTTTATTCTCGGCTCCCCTCAAACGTCCTGTCACAGAAAGGCATTATCTGTCTCTGAACAGCAGGTTCCAACAGCTGCTACTGCGGTTAAATTATTTTGATAATAATAAACAGGGTAATGGAGTCCTCCTGAATTCTCCAGAGGGCACATCCATCTCCAGAAAGGGGCTGCCATTTGTTGTAACAGCGGGCCCCCAAATCTATCCGTAATGAGCCAACTGACTGAAAAAAAAGGAGAGGAAGGCACTTTGCGGTAAAGTAGAATGTTTATCCTTTGACCGTGAGTTTCAAGTGTCCACGGCATGATGCATGCGGTTTTTTTTGTTGTTGTTGTTTTTTGTTCTGTTTTTTTTTTTTTTTTTTTTTTTTTTTAATCTGGCTTGCTTTGCCCTTCTGATGCCGCTTCAGCTCTGTACTCCACAACGCGAAGGTAACTAGACGAACATTGAGTCCGGGACTATAGTTCCCAGCCTTTGTTAGACCCTCTGCAGAAGTATGGCTACCTCTGTGGGCTGTGAGGGAGGTTAACTGTACTGAGCTACGTGCAGAAATCCACAGCTATCAAGCACGCTTGTCATTCGCTGCCACCAGCCAGCGGCCGGCTCAGGAGCCTAACTGGCGCGTGCACCTGGCCGGTCAAGAGAGGCAGCGGGCGTGGTCAACGATCCGAAGCCCCACCCAGCGGCGAGCTCGAACCTCCCTCTCGCCGGCGGCCGAGGGTGAAGAGCGTGGCCGGAGCGGTGCTTGTCCGGAGATGGCGGCGGTCGCAGTAAGCAGCGCCAAGCGGAGCCTGCGGGCGGAGCTGAAGCAGCGTTTGCGGGCCTTGAGCGCGGAGGAACGGCTGCGTCAGTCTCACCTCCTCACACAGAAGGTGCGACAAGGCTTCCGGGAATTAAACGCTGGGGAGCGCGGGCTCGCGCGTCTGCGCAGGCGCACCTCTCGCGGTCGCGCGCGCGTCCTCTGGGGCGCGTGCGCGTAGTTCCCGTCCTCCCTCTTAGGTCAGGGGCGGGCTCTGTGGCTCTGTGGACAGAGCTTCTGGGGGAGGTTGGTTATTTTGTTACTGCGAGGAAAAGCATTGCAGCGAGCTTTAGTTTGTGGAGACTGTTGAATCACACCCACAGTTTCCGGTTTGAGTTTAATTCATTCACACGGGCTTAACTCGTAGTAATAAACTATTTTACTGTGTATTGGGTTATAGAGATGAAGACCATAGAGAGATGTTGCCCCTTAACGGATCAAGAAGGATCTAGCAGAGGAAGCAGGTGACTTAAAAATTGTAAGGCCAGTGAGAAAAATGTGCTATATATTTTATTTGTCCATACACTGAATTTGGGTGTGTTTTTCTAGGAGTCCTAAAATCCCTCTACTTTTTTTTTTTTTTTTTTTTTTTTTTTGGCAAAATTTTTCACGTTGTGAGTTGTGCATCCGTACAGCCACTCCTTGGGTTGCTGCTTCCTGAGTTCAGGTGGTTTCTGGGACTAGTTGCCTTCTTCCTTACGTACTTTTCCTTCTCTACTTTAATAGAGTATATCCTCAAAGGAATTATTTTAAAGAAAATACTTACGTGATTGGCGACCTTTATTTATTTATTTATTATGGGTGTTTTGCCTGCACTGGCGCCTTTGGAGGTCAGAAGTGGGTGCCATATCCTTTGGAACTAGAGTTAAGGATGGCTGTCAGCCCCCATGTGGGAGCTAGAAATTGAACCCAGGTTGTTTGCAAGAGCAGTGAGTGCTTTTAAACTGCTGAGCCATCTCTAGACCTGACTTTTAAATATATTACATGTTAAAATCTTTTCAACTCCTGTTTGACTGACCGATTTCTGTTTTCCTCATTCTGTTCAATACCTCTGGCTTCCAATCCAGAGACTAATGTTTTTAATTCATGCATTATATCTTGTGTCTTAGTTACTTGTTGTATTGCCATGAACAGACACCATAACCAAGGCAACTTTTAAAAGGAAGCATTTAGTTTGTGGCTTGCTTACAGTTTCAAGGGGCTAGTCTATGGTCATCATGTAGGAAGCATGGAGGCAGGCAGTCACGGTACTGGAGAAGTAGGTGAATGCTTATATCTTATCCACAAGATAAAGGTCGGGGGGGTGGGGGGAGAGAGAGACAGACAGACAGACTTGGGCCTGCCTTGGGCTGTGGGCTTTTGAAACCTCAAAGTCCACTGTGGGGTCTCTGATCACAAAGGCCAGAAGAGTGTCATCAGCCTGAAGCAAGAAGGAAATCTGCGTCAACATGACTCAGTAGGTGGTGATGGTTTAAACTTTTAGAGTCTGATGCTGGGCAGTTTTTTTAAGGAATATTTAAGCACAGCACATTTGGGGAAAAAGTTCCCTGGTGATAATTAACTCAGTCCAGTGTGAACAAGGCTTACGACAGGATTACATTGAAACTCTTTTCAAGGTACAGGTGTCCTCTCCCATACAGATGTATTCTATAGATTGACTACATGTGAAATGTTAAGGGTGTTGGAGAGGATCTGATGTGATCTGGGACATACAGATGGTGCAAAGGTCACCAGGCTATTAACCACCTCTGCTCCTGTTTGTAAAGTACATGTGACAGCTCCCAGAAAGGTGGATTCTGTTGACTGAGAAACAGTGCTCAAGATAAAGATCTAGGGAAGAGGACTGAGATAAACATTAATCTGGGATAGCCAGATTAATGTGACCTGGCCATTCCAAAAGTTCAGAGGTTGCCAGGCTATTAACTAAATCCATTCCCAGCCTTCTGAATGGAAAACAGGTTTTATAGGTCTCCCTTTGAAGAGAGAGACAAGCTTCTGTGTTTAACATGCATGGTTTCCCTAGTGTTTAGAGCACAAAGGGCTTCATACCTTCTACAGCTTACCCCCAGTGACACACTTTCTACAAGGTACGCCTCCTAATCCTAAATTGTCCACCAACTGGGAACAAAACATTCAAGCACATGAGCCTATGGTTCCATTCTCATTCAAACCACCATATTTCAATTACTAGTTTCCTTTTGTATCTTTCAGGAATATTTTAATTAGATAATAAAAGGTCTAGATTGATTTTCTGTGTCTCTTAACATTTTTTTTTTTTCATAATTTGTCTTTCCCCGCCCCACAACTTACTCTTAGGCTGTTTTCATTTTGCTCATTGCAGTTTCAATTTCCAATGATTATTTCTTTTGTCTCTTACTGATTCCTTTCCCCAGCGTGGATTAATGATTTATAGATTCAGTTATTGTTTTCAGTTTGTCTGAGAAAACTAATTAGAATTCAAAAAATTGTCCCCATCCTTTGAATTACCTTTTTTGCCCTAAATCATTTTTCCCTTCCATTTTTTATTTAAATTTTTTTATTATTATTATTTTATAGTTTGGCTTTTCAAAATGGTTGAAAAACATTTATTGGCCAAGCATATTCATGTCTTTTGGGAGTATTGGGCCTCAACTGAGGACCTTGTACGAGATAGTAAAGCTTCTACCATTGAAGAAAACCATTGACCTTTGTCTGTACATATTTATGAATACACATACATTAGCTACAATATTTCCTGTTTTGTAGACACTGTTTGGAATTCTGAGGGAAGAATGGATTCTGCCTCCCTCCTGTGCCCATGTTTTAGTGCTTTTTTGTCTATAAGTACTGTCTTATCCTCCTTGTATCTTACAGAAATAGTCAGATTTCTACTTTATTGTCTTCATCGCTACAATGGGTTTTCTTTCATCCCCTCTTCCTAACAGATAAGCACATAAATGGGCTTGAAGGAAGGAAGGCAAATGCATACGTGTAAAATTCTCAGGCTGAATTTTAGCCCTGTGCCTTACTGTTTATTCAGCTCTTGGTTTTCCACACTCTGTTTTAAAGAGGTTAAGAAAAGCACTTTCTCATGCAGAAGTGGTGTCAGAAGCCCCTGGCCTGCTCCAAATCTGGGTTTCACCTTTTCATTTGGTGTTCTTATGCCAAGCCTCCTAACAGCTTTACAGGGCTGACCTCCTACCTTAGCCTGGGTGTGAAATGCTTTGCTTAACCTCTTTCTTCCCTTTGTATTAAATGTAACTTGGCTTTCTTTATCTCTGTCTTTCTGTCAGTCATATTTGTAAGCTGCTTTTGCATTTATCCTTCTCTTCTTAGCTTGGAGGACAGGGGAGAGCAGAAAAGGAATGGACAAAAAAAGGGAGTAAAGGGCCAACTTCTGAGTCTGGGTAAGTTTCTAGGACTTAATGAGCAAAATTTAGCTCCCTCTGCTGATGAGCGGTTCTGCTATATGTGGATTCTTGCACGAAAGGCGCCTTACCCCCATTTTAACGCTGTGAGCACTCGGTTGAATGGAATAGTATTGGTAGAGCTAAGAGACTGTTCTCTGTGGGAGCTTGTGGACTGATTCTGAATCCTTCTTTTAGGACACATAAGCAGTGATTGACTCACGACTCACCTTATACAGACTGAAGTGTTGAGTGTCACTCTAAATTGAGTAAAGTCTCTACAGAGGTCAGGAAACCTAGGTCTTGGCTGGCCTTACATGGGTAAAATTGATGAGAGGACTGCCCAGTAACCCAAGGACGGGAAAATTTGTGAGATCCAAATTTCAAAGGGAACATAACACCAATATCCTTGAGTTAGCCTCTGATGTGTACTGGAAGCTGGGCTCACATCTGGGATTCTGAAGATAGATGGCTAATGTAAAAGCCATTCTTACAAACAAGAATAGGTATACCAGAGAGATAGAAGGATCGGGTATGCAAATATTGAGTCTTTGAAATAAAAGCCAAGTATCAGGTCTTAGCATTAACTCACTGCATCTCTTTACTTGGAAAAGGCTGCAACAAAAGGGAGAAATTGGTAAGAGGAGTTACTACTTTATGAAAAATACAGTCTTAAAAATTATAATTGCTGCGATTTCCCACTTAGGTGATTGCCCACGGTCAGTATCAAAATTCCAAAAGAATTTCCATCTTTCTGAGTATGCAAGATGAAATCGAGACAGAAGAGATCATCAAGGACATTTTCAAACAAGGCAAAATCTGCTTCATCCCTCGGTACCATTTCCAGAGCAATCACATGGACATGGTGAGATTAAAATCACCTGAAGAAATCTCTTTACTTCCCAAGACATCCTGGAATATTCACCAGCCTGCAGAGGAAGATGTTCGGGAGGAGGCCTTATCCACGGGTAAGACATCATTTCTCGCATCAAAACACTTAATTAGGTGCATCCTGTTTCACCTGATCGTAGAAGATAAGCATGGTCAGGGCTTGGCTAGTTTGGGAGAATTGATGTCTTTGCATGGTTTGATAATTTCTTTAAAAAAAAAAAATGTTCTTTTTTTTTTTTTTTTTTCCCTTTGTGTGTGTTTGTTAAGGCGGGGTCTCACCATATAGCTGAGGCTGGCTTCAGACTCTCAAACACCTGCCTCCCCAGTGCTGAACTCACGGGCATACACTGCCTCTCTGGTTTCTACCAGATACTTTCATCAATTTTGTATCAGCTCTGTTGTATGTCTAGGAAGATAGGGCCCATGTCCAAATGGACTCATCCTGTAACTGGGGAGACAGAAATTTCATACCAAAAAAGCATCTCAACTTATACTATACATCAAATATAAGTGTCAAATAAGATACTGAATATTGAAAACATGCAAGTCCATGGCTTGGCCTTGAAACTGTGCATCCGTAGCACTGGCTTATTCATCTTCATCCTCGGCTCTTTTTCCATGCCATGTTTGCAGCAGCGGTGGCTTTTGCTCCCATTAAACTTGCAACCCAAGTTGCAGTGGAAAAGCATATGATAGTCTAGCTTCTTTCAGTTGTGGTATGGGGCAGAGGCCCCTGCAGTTGTTTGTAGAAATGTCTGAGCAAGCAGGCTCGCTGTTTGTTACCTCTTAACATCACAGTCTCAGTGTGCACTTTTACTTGCATCAGCAGTTTGGAATGAGGCAAGTTCAACGCTAAAGCACAAATCAAGCTTCACAGTGTTTGAGGCGAGCTGATTGGAGCTCAGACTGTCTGCTGCAGCCCTTGCTGTCTACCCATCTTCCTAGTTTGCTTATGTTATCTCGGTTTAGAAAAGGACAAACCTGTGTATTCTCAGCTGCAGTTAACACGTTCTTAAGCAAACACTTCACATAAGGCATTCTTGGTTTAGCTTTACAACATAATAAGCCAGCTGTTAAGTGAAATAGGGGAGCTGTCTCTTCACTGAATTTATCCTTAACGTGAGACCCGATTAGACAGTTTGATTAGACAGAGTCTTCCCATTGAGAATTTATAATCTGATTCAACCTTAATCAACTTGACTTAAGCACACGGGATAATATTGGTACAGAAACTTAAGACTACCCAGAAGAGCCAGCTCTAAAGGTCCCTGGATGAGTGTCCTTCAGAGTCTGTCTTTGTTTTGACTCTCTTTGTCTGTGTAGGCTTTGTGTTCATTGTGGCCCTTGGCAGCTTGGACTTAGATATCTATCACCTTTATAGCTAGAAATCCCAGCAGAAAAGAGCAAGTCTGGTTCTCTAACAGTCTCAGTAAAATGCTGGTCCTAACTCTTATTTCCCCAAGGGTCATCCCCAAATTAATCACTATGACCAGACACAGAATTAGTTTATTGTCTCAGGCAGGGGTTGTACATGACCATTCCTGACTGGTTTCTCTGACTAGGGAGAAGGAACTATAGCTACCTCTTCAATCCTCCTCAACCACTAAGCTGGATTGTGGGGGTAAAGTGAGAGTGACATGTTCTAGAACAAAAGAGAATGGATATGACCCTGTCCGAAGTCAAGCTCCTCTATCCCATTAACCATTTCTGCAGTCCTATACAACAGGCTCTTGCATATAACTTTTAGTGGTCATTTTAACTGTCTGATTTTTTTTTTTTTTTTTAGAGACTTCTTAAGAATTTGTATCTGTGTGAGAATACCCAAGACACAGCTTAAATAGGTGACTGCAATGATTTTATAGTGCTCCACTGTAAGATATTATAGTACTTACAGGGGCACTGTCAAGGGCAAGGTCTGTGAATATACCCTTTAGGTATATTCAGGCCAGTACTTTCAGGAGGCTAGGATTTGTTCATTGAGAGTAATTCACATTCAGTTGTCTTATTTGCTTCTTTACTGGGACTACGTGATTTTAGTGAATACAATAGGCATGGATTTCATCAAGGTCTTTGACAAAGTCTTTATATTGTTTAATAAACACTTTATTATAGAGAACTTACAAATAAAAATATACCACAGTCATGATATCCTTGAGAATAAACCAAAGACATTTGAATTGTGTCAAAAAAATGAAAAAGTTTTATCTTGTTTGTTTGTTTGTTTGTTTGTTTGTTTTAGAGATGGGAGCTTACTATGTAGCCCAGGCTGGTCTTGAATTCACACTCCACATGCCTTAGCCTCCAAGGCTTATAGACCTACATAACCCTCTGGCTGGTAAGTGGTAAGTATTTCTTAAGCACTTAGTTCAGTGGTTCTCAACCTTCCTAATTCTGTGACCCTTTAATGCAGCTCCTCATGTTGTGGTGACCCCCAACCATAAAAATATTTTTGTTGGTACTTCATAGCTATAATTTTATTACCATTATGAATTGCAGTGTAAGTATATAATATGCAGGTTATTTGATATGAAACCCATGTGATAGGGTCATTCAAGCCCCAGTGGAGTGGCAATCCATACAATGAGAAGCACTGAATGTGTATGAGATACATGATGGGAGCCTGGTTCCCACAGTAGTGGAGTTAACTAGCTTGTTGTTCTCATAGAGGCGGGTTTTCTGCTAGCATGTCACAGGTCCTCTCTTTGAGCGGTCCCGTTTAGCTTTGTATTACACATCAAGATGTTCCACCATTCCCTATTTCCACGTTTGTAAGTTTATTTTTTTTGCTTTTTTAATTATATGTTTGTAGCTAGTGTGCGCCATAAAATTATCCTTGTCTCTCTTCTGTAACCATCCGATTATCGAATGTTACTGGATTTTTCTTGGCAGTGTAGTTGTATGCAGTGCACATGGGTGGTATGTGTATTGTGTGCACAGGTGCGTGTGTACCCATGTGGAAGAGTAGAAGCCAAAGAATGGTGCTGGGCGTCCTGCTCTGTCACTCTGCCTGATTGCTTTGACACAGACTCCATCACTGAGCCTGGAGTTAGGCTGCACCCACTAAGTACCAGCACATCCTCCTGTTTCTTCCACTTCATAATGCTGGGTTACAGACACAACCATACCTGGCTTTTTACATGGGATTTAAAATCAGGTCTTCGTACTTATGCAGCAAGCATTCCTAGCATTCAGACATTACTCCAGCCTCACTGTGTAAAATTTTTTTATCACCTGCAACTAATCCCAGCAATCTCTTATCTGCAGTTTTTGACTCTTTAGGTCTATTCTTCTAGAACAATTTATTTTTTTTATTTTTTTTCTTTCCATTTTTAATTTTAATTTGAATTAATTACATTTTATTCACTTTATATCCCCCAGTGGCCCTCTCCCTCCTCCCCTCCTGATCCCACCCTTTCTCCCCATTCTCCACACATGTCCCTCCCCCAGTCCACTGATAGGGGAGGTCCTCCTCTCCTTCCTTCTGATCCTGGTCTATCAGGTCTCATCAGGAGTAGCTGCACCATCTTCCTCTGTGGCCTGGTAAGGCTGCTCCCCTCTCAGAGTGAGGTGATCAAAGAGCAGGCCAATCAGTTCATGTCAGAGACAGTCCCTGTTCCCATTACTATGGAACCCACTTGGACACTGAACTGCCATGGGAAATATCTGTGCAGGGGTTCTAGTTTATCTCCATCAATGGTCTTTGGTTGGAATATCAGTCTCAGAAAAGACCACTGTTCACAGATATTTTTGGTTCTGTTGCTCTCCTTGTGGAGCTCCTGTCCTCTGCAGGTCTTCCCTACTTCTTTCATGAAATTTCATGAAACCTTTGGGCACTCTGCCCAAAGGTTGGCCATAAGTCTCAGCATCTGCTTTGATACTCTGCGGGGCAGAGCCTTTCAGAGGCCCTGTGTGGCAGGGTCCTGTACTATTCCCTATTTCCCCCTTTTTCTGATATTGATCCTCTTTGCCTTGCTATATGGAGTTTGAGCATTTAGCCACAGTCCTCCTTCTTGATTAGTTTCTTTAGGTATACAGATTTTAGTAGGTGTATCCTATATTATATGTCTAATATCCACTTATGAGTGAGTATATACCCTGTGTGCCTTTTTGCTTCTGGGATACCCCACTCAGGATGATCTTTTCCAGTTACCACCATTTCCCTGCAAATATCATGATTTCCTTGTTTTTTATTGCTGAGTAATATTCCATTGTGTAGATGTACCACAATTTCTGTATCCATTCCTCAGTTGAGGGGCATCTGGGTTGTTTCCAGGTTCTGGCTATTACAAATAAAGCTGCTACAAACATGGTTGAGCAAATGTCCTTATTGTGTACTTGAGCATCTTTTGGATATACGCCTAGGAGTGGTATAGCTGAATCTTGAGGAAGCGCCAGATTGATTTCCAAAGTGGTTGTACAAGTTTACATTCCCACCAGCAGTGGAGGAGGGTTCCCCTTTCTCCACAACCTCTCCAGCATATGTTGTCACTTGAGTTTTTGATCTTAGCCACTCTGATGGATGTAAGGTGAAGTCTCAGGGTCGTTTTGATTTGTGTTTCCCTGATGACTAAGGCTGTTGAGCATTTCTTTGTTTTCGGCCATTTGATATTCCTCTGTTGAGAATTCTCTGTTTAGCACTGTACCCCATTTTTTAATTGGATTATTTGATATGTTGCTGTTTAACTTCTTGAGTTCTTTATATATACTGGATATTAGCCCTCTGTCAGATATAGGGTTGGTGAAGATCCTTTCCCAATCTGTAGGCTGTCGTTTTGTTCTGATGACAGTGCCCTTTGCTTTACAGAAGCTTTTCAATTTCATGAGGTCCCGTTTATTGATTGTTGCTCTTAGAGCCTGTGCTGTTGGTCCTAGAACAAATTTTAAGCTGGTTCCTGATCATATTAATTTCTCTCAAATGCCTTTTTATGCAGCTTGCCCATCTGTTAGGTCTTTTCCTGCATGTTATTATAATCTCTTGTCTTTGGCTGACAGTTCTTCCTGCTGATCTATTGTGGCCAAAAGCAGGGACTTTGGATACCTCCAAAGTCCAGGCCACTGTTAGAGCCAGTCTTTACCC